CATGCTCAGGTAACCTAACACCACAGTGGATGTGCATTCATCTTGTCTGGCCAGTGCCTCGAGAATTGTGTAACTGAACATTGGACAATCTTAATGGTGTCATTATGAGGGTGTTTATGTCCCAGAGTGGACAGGGTTTTGCCTGGTCCAAACCAAGGGACAGAAATGTCTCCCTGTTGTGCCCATTGAGTCTCCTGAGAAGCTAAGACTGGCATGGCTGTGGCATTGCCACCCTAGAGCTCAGGAAGTTGTGTATGAACTGCCCAAGCTTCCAGGACTGTCCTCTACAAGTCCTAGGACCAGTCTGTCACTTCTCTGTGCTCCCACTGTGGAGGGGACTGGCAGACAGGAAGCTGGAAAGGAAGTTCAGGACTGAGCTAGAATTAGGCCTGCTTGCTCCAGGGCTTTCCCCTGAGTCTTTGGTGTGAACACGGTCACTAGGCAAGTGGGAGTGCTTGAGGAGAGGGACTGGCCAGGGTGACTTAGGTTCAGTGATCAGCAGCAGGGACCCTGACATCCACACCTGCCATTTTTCCTGGCCTCCAGACCCAAACCTGAGACTGGGGATTTATAAGGACAGGTTTGCACCAGAGCCTGTCCTGGGAGACTGTGCCCTGACCTAGGACCCTCCAAACATACTAATAGGGACAGACACAGGTAGCAGAGAGCTGCAGCAGCAGGAGAGGCAGGGTCAGAGGTGGCTCCAGGCATGGTGCCCATCAAGCTGGGCCTTGAAGGAGACTGGACTGACAGCTTTATGGACAGAGGCTACAGCAGACAAAAGAGTGGAGGCAGGAATACCTTCCTTAATATGGAGGCAGCACTGACCACACCAGAGCCTAGCTGTGCAGGAAGCAGTAGAAAGGTTGCAGGAGCCATGGGACTAGTCACCAAGGGCTCCAAAGGCAGGGGAGACTCTGTTCTCTGTGGAGGCCTTAAGCACAGGCCCAAGCCAGACTGCCTCTAACCTGCTCTGGGACCTTGAGTTCAGCCTCACTGTGCCTCAGTTTCCTCATCTGTGCAATTGGGGATAAAACAGCAGTAACCACTACCAGAATCACCATGCAGATAAACTGAGAGATGAGAGCTTTCCCATTACAAAGCCACGTTTAATGAGCAGGAGCTATTTACTAATACCCTTGCTGTCATCATTCATTCATCCCACACGAGGCACTGAGCTCTGCGTACCGGGCACTACTCTGGTCAGTGGGGACACAGCAGTGGACAGCACAAACATGATCCCTGCTCTCGTGTCACTACAGCCTACATTCTAGTGGGGACACACGAAGTAAAATCAAGCAGGGAAAGGAAGTAGAGGTGTCAAATGGGGTGTGGCAGGGTAAGTTAGCCGGCTAGTGGATGGCCCTGGGAGGAAAAACTGAACCCAAGGCAGCAAGGCCTTCAGGAAGGAAGGATTTGAGCAGTGACATGGCTGCCCCAGAGCTCTACCTCTGTGGAGCTCTAGCAGCTGTGGAGGGCAGGCTGGCTATGAGGCTGCAGTGGGAGAAGGGCCTCAAGGAGGGTCTGCCATGACTGAAGAACTTTCCAGCGTGGGCTCCAGGAGGCAGAGTGGAGAGGAGCACGAGGCAAATAGTAAAACTTTTCTATTTATTGTTTTGGTCATGTTCTTTTAGCATTTCTATCTCTTTTTTGTTGTACTGTTTGTTTTTTGAGACAGGGCCTCACTATGTGACCCAGGCTGGCCTGGAACTCTCTATCCTCCTGCCTTAGCTGCCCCAGTACTGGGATTACAGGCTTGCTTCTGTCCAGTTTAACTTTCCCGTTCTGTGTGCCATTGTATAGTACACCTACCTATACTTTATGTACGTGTTTGTAGGTGGGGGTGCAGACATCTTTCACTGCTGGGATGAAGCCAGGGACTGAGGCAAGCACTGAGAAGGGGCTGACCTACACGTGGGAAAAGGGGTCAGAGAGCCCAGGGCACAGCAGCCAGTGTGGAAAGCCCTGGCCAGGAGGCGTGGCAGATGTGACCGTGGTAGCTCGGAAGTGAACAGGAGAGAGAACTCAGATGTCCTCAAAGTCTCAGGCCCAGCCAAGGAGAAAGATGATGGTGTCAGACTCAGACAGGCCTTGGGGAGAAAAGACCAGAGAGGTGAGACATGGTACTCCTACCTGGACACCTGAGTGGGCCACTTGGGAGACTGAGAGGTGGCATATAGAAATGAACAGTGGGCTTCCAGGCCAGGGCTACAGAGCAACTTGCGAGTCTCTGCAGAGTTGGGAGAGTTGAGGCCTGTGATGGGCAGAAAGTTTTTCCTGCTTGTTTTGAAAGTGGCAGTTTGGTTTATCAAAGACTTTGTTGATGTTTATAGTCAAGAATCTCCAGGGTGCACTTTTTTCTGGGAAAGGCTGGAGCGGCCATTTTGTTTCATGCCTTTAAACATGGAAGCCACGGCCTGCTGCCCTCGGCATGCTTTTGGCCTCAGGATAATAGGCCAGAGGGCAGAACACTGCTGTGCTATGTGGGGCTGTATGTCTCTGGTCTACTTGTCCCTGTGCTCATGCAGTCAGAGAAAAGGGTAGGATGAGGCCAGCCTCTGTCCAGATGCAGAGGGGCCTTAGAAGGGCCCTGGGGATGGTGTCCTCAGAGGTTGTAGGCAAAGCCCAGGCAGACCTCACCCCCTCTGCTTGGTGCTGACATGTGTCAGCCCTGCAAGACCTACAGCAGAAGTGATTGGATTCCCTGGGCAGGAGTGGGCACAAGGAACTGTTGGCAGCCATGTCCACAAGAAGTGGGGGATCAGCTGGCTCTGGGCCCTGCCAGACTCCCATGGGGGAATGCAAAGTTCTCCAAGCAGAATCATAGCCACTTGCAAGCCTCTGATGGCAGAGAACCAGGATAGCATCTGTTCTCTGCTTTCCTCCTATAGCCGAGGTCTACATCGGCATTGGAAAGCCTGCAGAAGCCACAGCCTGTACCCAAGAAGCTGCTAACCTCTTCCCAATGTCCCACAATGTCCTGTACATGCGGGGCCAGGTTGCTGAGCTCCGAGGGAACTTCGATGAAGCCCGGCGGTGGTATGAAGAAGCCTTATCCATCAGCCCCACCCACGTGAAGAGTATGCAGCGCCTGGTGAGTCTTGGCCTGGGCTGGGACCCCCCCACTCCTAGATTGGTGTTCCCGTTGGAGGCAGTGGGGGACTCATGACCTTTAAACCCTCAGATTCCCACAGTCATCTTGCCAGGCTGTCATAATGTACAAAGCCAGCTGGCTATTCCTGTGGCGTTTTATGCAAATGGGAAGTGACAATGCAGGGTGATAGCCACCCTGCCCAAGGTCCTGTTAGGTGCCATGGGGCAGTTAGGGTCTCTGGTTTTCTGGCCAGCAGTCCAAGCCACCCTGTGGCTCTGGATTTGATAAGGACATTGTTATAGCCCTGGACACTGTCATTGTCATTCTGGTCTCTGCACTGCTTACAGCAGTCACCTTGAGGGAGTATTCACCATCCCCACCCCAGACTTGAGGTCAGAGGTCAGAACGCTTACACCCTGGGAGTTCCTTTACCTTAAAGGACCCTAAGACTCCCGCTGGTCCCTAAGGCCACTGGTAGAGGAACAGCCCAGAGAAAGAAGGGCCTGGCTATGTGGCACTGAGAGGTGAGATGCTAGAGCAGGGACACAGGTAAGTCACCCAGTTTCCACACAGCATATGCGTGCAGCAGCTCTTCAGAAACACATGTGTCCCTCTTTTGGATGTCCAGGCAAAAAGATGGGCATGTTGTCCTCATGTTCCCAGTGCCTTGCCATCGGCCATCTTTGAGAAGTCCTGAAATTGTCCCCTGAAAAGCTCAATGTCAGGCAGGCAGGGAGCAGACTGGTCACTCTGGAGTTTCCATCCGTCAAGAAATGTATGAGCTGGGGACGTGACTCAAGTGGTAGAGTGCCTGCCTAGCAAGCGCAAGGCCCTGAGCTCAGCCTCCAGCACTGCCAAGAAAGCGGATGAAGCGCCACACCGTGCAGGGCGCTTCTGTCTGTTGTTCCCTTCCTGTGAGAGTCTAAGCTGAAACTCAAAGTAACAAGGTCTGTGGAGTGGGGGAAAAGCCACACTGCCCTCTCTAGGCCTGTGTGCCAAGCTTGGGTTCCAAAGTTCCGTTTTATTCTTAACAGTGGGTCATCGCTGATTTAATGGACCACAAGAAAGAAAAGCCTTGTAATGAAGCTCAGGTGCTCTTCACGCCACAGGCCCTTGGGAGCTCAGTACCCATAATCAGACAGTGCTGTGTGAGATGAAAAACAAGTGCTGGACAAGGAGTCTAGGGACAGAGATCTGGCCCCAGTGGTGTCACTAGCTCACTTTAACTTCTGGAAAGGCACATAAAACTCTCTGCACTTCAGTGCCCTTTTTGCAAAAGGAAGGCATTCCACTGGATAGGCTGTGTCAGTCTAGAACTGAAAGGATGTGGTTTTATAACTAAACAGCATTGTAAATGTTCTCTGAAGGATTCCAAAGCCTTCCTTATCTTGCCATTTCGCATAAATGTTGCAAAATGTGGAAGGGGCTGAGGTGTAACTTCTGGTTTTCAGCAGAAGAATGCTGATGTACCAAGAATTAGGCATCCTGGGAAGAGTGTACTCCTAAGAGTGAGATCTGGACTTGAACTTGGACTTGCCCTTTAACCTTCAAGAGCTGTGGTGCTTCTGTGAATTGTGCTGGTACTTACCCAGGTGGGCTGTGTGAGAACTGAGTGAAATGACTCATATAACAAGACCAGCAGAGTTCCTGGTACCTACTGGGTGCTAATTACCTAAAAAACTGAAGACAATCACTTTCAGTTTTTAAAAATAAATCAAACCTTATAATAATTATAGCTACTTAATTTTTTTCAACTTCCTTTCATGAGGATGCTGTAGCTCAATGCAGCTTTATAAATAATTTCACAAATTATCCAAACATTAGTCTGTTGGATTAAAAATATTACCTGGCTTTTAATTTTTGTCTCACTATTGGAAGAAGGATTTGTTACAGCTTTTCAGAACTCTGAGCTTCTGCTGGAACGTTGCAGAAGTACAATCAACCCCATGTACCCGTCTTTATTCAAAAGAGGTAGTGTATTTCCACCTTGGGGGGGTCTATGAATTATTCAGAGAAGTATTTCTTGTCCACCCCCAAGGGGAACACATGAGACAAAAGATCAAATAGGAAAATCGCACCAAGGGAGTCTTCTGTTTCCTCCTTGGAGCTTTTCGAGACACCTGAGCTCCTGACAAATGTCAGGCAGCACTTTCCTTTCTGAAGGAGCAAGAACTGCGCCCAGCTCTAGGCTGATAAGGCAGGGACTGGGCCAGTGGTGGGGCCCACACCCATTGGCAGCAACCATGCCTCACCGGGCCCAGAGACGGTGGCTGCTTTGGGGGGTCTTGCCAATAAAACCAGTAATAATAACAGATTCAAAAGCTCTTTCTCAATGCATCTGATGTATTCAGAAAACTGTCTAGATTGAAGGCAGGTTGAAAGCCACACGCCTGAAGATTTTGAAGAGTATGGATTTTCAAAGTCAGTAACTTGCCCTTGACTGTAATCGTGGTGATTCCCAAAAGTCATTTGGAAAATTCCTCCTGGTGACCATATGAATGATGCACTGTCACCTATGTTCTGCCCACAGCAGGAGAGCCCCATCATAGCCAAGGGCAGATCCCTCCTTCTTGACCTCTGGTGCTTGTGGAGGGACCCTTGGAATCCTGAGGCTCTTAAGCCTGAGGACCCCCCCACACCCTCCCCCCAGCTATGCAGCAAAACAGTGCTTCTATGACCTTGGATAGAGGGAGGTGGCCTTCACAGTCACTCACTGGCCTCAGGGTCTTGGAGCAAGTCACTCCCCTTTTTTGTGCCTCGGTTTCCTCAAGCACATAAATAGATCTGGATTGATTAGCACCAAATGTCATGGAGACAAAGTCAACACAAGAACCGAAATCTCCTGTGACTCACAGGAAGCAGACTGGTGTGTGAGCCCTGGAGGCAGGTGGAAGCAGGGACAGTGGAAGTGTCTCCTCACTAGACCAAGTTTGGGGATGAGATGGGGAGGTGGAAACAGAGAAGAACATTGACAGTTGCCTGGCATCCAGGGAGAGAAGGGTGAAAGCAGGCAAGGGGCAGCCCAGGCCAAGCCAGGGCCAAAAGATTCAGACTAGCAGTTCAAAGAACATGCACGGGAGACCACCATAGAGCCAATCAAAGAGGTCCCCAGGGAAGGAACCAATCGTGAGGCAAATTGTACTCACAGAAAAGACTGCAAGGATGGATAAGGTCCATAGCAGCCCTCATACTCAGAGAAAAGGGCAAGGAGCTGGAGAGACAGTTGGAGGGAGATGTCTAGAAGGCAGGAGGCCATGTTGTCTATCACAAGTAGTGACAGTAGTTGGGTGGCCACAGAAATCTGCAGAAAACAATGGGAGCTGGGCTTGCTCTGTGGAGAGCAATTCTCAATAACTTTAGGGTATAACTGGCAGATCATGCCAGATCACCAGGATGTCTAACACCCTCAATTTATGCAAAAATGCAAACCCGTTAACCTTGTTAAAAAGCAGATAGTATTCACAAAAATAAGCCAAAGGTCAGATTTGACAAAAGAAATGTAAATTAAGCCCCATAGTAGCCTTACTGTATGTGTTCAGATTCACATCTAGTGAGAAGGGAGAAAAGAACAACATGTTGAGTGAACACAGACCAGGAGGCGAGGGAGCCAAGCATGGGCAGTTATTAAGGGAGCAATATAAGCTGAAGGGACAAAAATTACAAAGTAATGTTGCTTCCAAGGGGAGGAATTCATAGGGTGATCAGACTTTTCCCGGAAAATCTTAAGGCATGTTTCCTTATTAGTTTGTATAAATGTATAAATTTACATATATTTGCTGACTATGTTAAAAACCTTGAGCCCCCAGTACAATGAATTCATGAGGCCCAGGGCAGCTTTTTCCAAAGCAGTCATTCTGTGTTCTAAGTAGAGGGAAATGAAGGGAAGGTGGCCCACAGTGACCTCAGGCAGAGAGAGCACTGCATCCTAGAGCAGACTTCCCAAGCCAAGGACAGGCACAGAGATTCAGAGCAGCCGAGGACACAATTACCAGGACGGGGACAGGCTCTGCAAACAAGGACATCTGGGTGCCCTCTGATAATGTCAGTGTGGGCTTTTGAGGGCAGTGTGTGAGGTGGTAAGGTAGGAAAGAGACAAGGTTTCAGGAGCCAGGTGCATGTGGAAGGGAGCCAGGAAGCACACTGGAGGGAGTTGATAAGGCTAGCAATAAACAGCACGATAGGTGCCAGCAGGAGGTCCACCTCTGTGCATTTGACAGTTTAAGAACAGGTGTAGAACCAGAGCAGATGGTGGGATCAGTAGTGGGGGGAGGGTGGCCAGCATCACCCAAGGCAGCATTGGAAAGGACCATGGAAGGGGACAGTAGGAGTACTGGTGACATAACACAACTCCCCCAGCCAGAGGAGGAGAACCAATGTGTTCACCAAAAGGATGGGCAGTTTCCTGAGGAGTATCTGGGGACAGAGACAGTGCTGTCTCAGAGCTCATGCCGAAAAATGAGAAAACCTAGACTGAAAGCAGGAAGGGACCATCCCTGTGAATGTTGAAGAGGCTGAACCTGGAAAGGGACAGAAAGCCATGGTCATTGGAAGAGGATGGTTAGAGGATTAGGGAAGTGCTAAGCTCTAGGTGCCCCAGAGGAAGAGGTGGTAACAGACCGGTGGTGTTCTCACTGACGAGGGCCCCTGCCTGAGGAGTGTGGCCAAGGACTATCAGCCTCCCCTGGGGTCCTGGGGATGATGGGATATGGCAGGGCTACAGCCACTTGGAAGGGGTCACTGCTCAGAAAAACACGTTTCAGGTTTCCATAAGGGGATCAGTCTAATAAGCAAGCAGGCTTTTGGTCTGGGGCATAGTGGGCCTGAAAATCTTGTTTGTCTTCTGTGGATGGATTACAAGAGTCAGAAACCTCTTAGTTCAGTCAAGATGGCTTCAGGCCAAAGGCTTCACACACAGGCTTTCCGTAAGGCTTTCTCCCTTGAGTGGCATGAGCATAAAAGCTCAAGGAGTGGGTTTCAGTCCTGCTCCAAGGTACCATGTT